ATTTTGTCGAGGCCTCGCAAGGCCTTGGAAGGCGGCCCGCAAAACACAAGCGATTCTGGCTTCGCCAGGACGGGCCTCCACTGTACTTGAATTTTTGGGGCTTGGGTGGCTGCAAAGAAAACCTGATTGCGTGTTGTGACTCTCTCATCCCCCCCTTGTTATTCGATGCTCCCCTGCATGGTGTTCTAGTCCTAGAGTAGGGGTGCTAGTGTTTGATAGTAGGGGAAAAGATTCTTCTCGAATATTTTGGAGTCCATATAGTGTTAACAATCGTGCTCTTTGTCGCACAGCTTTTGAACTGCACATACACGGGTTCGTTGGCGACATCAATGTTGGGGGCTAGGGCATAGCCCCATCTGAGCATAAACTACACGCACGTCTGTTTATGTGTTCTCCTGAGAACCCTCGGGTTCCCGTTCGATTAACCTCAATCTAATTAGCCTGAGATAACGGTAATCAAGGGGGTTTTATATCCCAGATACCAGGTTCATTTGTACAGCGACACTCTGATGCTCCTTGCGGCGGGACACCAGCCCCGAATCATCCCATATCTAAACTTGAGGTATTTATGTATTCCCTTTAAACCTCAACCTCCGCTCGAGGCTCACTCAGCCTAGCCAACATGGTGGAGTGCGCCACCAAGAAGCCATAGTCCTGGGTTGCTGTTAAGGAACTTAAATTCAGTTACTATGATGGGTATATATAATAGATACTAGGGCTTCCCCCAATATAGCAACTTAAACTAAGTTCCTTAACAGCACCCCCAAGTTCTCAAGAAAGAGGTCACCCCTCTGACTTCCCACAAGCTAGTAGAAGCTAGGCTGTATTACTACTACTCTTATTATCAATGCTATTCTTGTTGGCATGATTACTATTACTACTATTAGTACTTGTAGAAGCTAGGCCGATCCTGCTTCAACAAGGGACCTGCAAACTCAGAAGTCCCCAGCTGCGTGAGCTTTGTTTTACTGAGGGATTTAAGGTTTTGGGGTTTTGGTTTTAGGGCTTTAGGGTTTAGG